GACCCCCTGTGGGTCGGCGGGCATAGCTGGCATGACGGCCGGCTCGACCACGTCTGTTCTGACCTGCGAGTTGGCGCGGGAACGAGACGCGGGATACGGAGCTGGTATAGGAGGTGCCCCAGCTGGTAGAGGTGGCATGGGCGGGCCACTGTGTCCCGAGTCCGCAGGTCGAGGCTCGAACTGTGAGGAATCCTCCGTCAACCCAGTGACCGACGTGCCAACGGCTGAATATGGGGCCTGACGTCCGGATGGCCGTCGAGAATGTCTTCTGGTTCGTGATGGTGAGGAGTAGCCGTCGCCCGTATACCTGGAAACCATGGTCTCCTCTTCATCTCGGTACCTGTAGTCGTCCTGCCGCTTGTTCTTGCGGTCTGCCAACTTCTTTGCGAACCATCCGAGTCCCAAGCCTGCCAGTATACCTTTCCCTTTACCTCCAGCTCCAGCCGCACGGTCCCCATCACGCCTCCTCGAGGGGCTGACGTAGGACGAATAGTCAGAATCCTCAATCTCATAGCCTGAGCGGGTTCTGGCGTGCGTAGGACGAGTGGTAATGGGTCTGCTGTTTTGGGGGCGCTCCTCGGCTGCGCTCAGGGCCTGCGCAAGATGCGGGTTGCCGGGAGGTGGCAGCAAGGATGCAGTACCGGCATCGTGTCGAGTAGTTTCCGTATAGTCGCTGTATTCACTGATAGCCGGGGCTGTGCCTCGGCCGACTCTATCTCGACGAGGCGTCTCGGTCGACACGGCGGAATACTCGTCGTTGTAGTGTTTCTTCTCCCGGCGGTTCATCATGCCAGACACGAGCTTGCCCGCTCCGAGTGCCGCGCCAACACCAAGCATGGCTTTCATGAATCCACCTCCCTTTTTGTTATCCTCTCTGCGGGAATCGAATTCAGTGTACTTGTCGTCGTCAATGTAGCTCGCTGACGGCCTCCGAGCGCCTGCATAGGATGTCGACGGTCGTCCGCCGCCGACATAGCTGGTGGAAGCTCTGCGCGAAGCAATGACCTCGGGGCCTCTGTTTCGGCTGCGGCTTCGGGATCGTGACCCACTGCGACTCGTGGCGTTATCCTTCTTGTTGTTTCGTCGACGCGTAAAAGCCCATAGCGCTCCGCCAGCCGCGAGCGGTCCAAGCCATCGGGACATGCCCCCACGACGTTCTGTTTTCTCCGTAACCTCTGTGCGGTATTCCGAGTCAGGGCCGTACGTCAGTTCGGAGCGACCTCCTCTGGTGTAAGCATCTCGGTCCTTGAATTCTCCCCTGCGGTAGTCGAAGATGAAGTAGAGCAAGAAGAGAAAGGCCATCCACAACGAGTACAAAATGAACAGGTACTTGGGCGATCCGTACAGCGTGAGACCGAGAGGAACCTGAATGATGCCGAGAAGGGCAATCAGCCGCCCGCTCCACTGGTGGAACATGACCCGGATGGATCTCCCCTGTACGTGGCGGACGAGTCGCCCTCCAATGGCCTGGAGCAGAAACATGACGTAGATAGCTAGACCGATGGCGTGGTGAGGATTCGTCCAGCTCCTGTTTGGACCGACCGCGAACCAGCCGAGGACGAAGACGACGGTGAGCAGCAGGATGTTGAAGATACCAAGCATGGCGTGGTATTTGATGGCGAAACCAGGCCGTCTGGTGTAGAAGCGGGCGAAGAAGACTGCTGCTGGAACGAAGAGAAGGAAAACGAGGGCGCCAATCACGGCATGTGCCATGATCAGGCTGTGGTATTCGGCCACGGTGGAGAAGCGGTTGGCCATGCCTGTGGCAAACGCGGGTCAGCATGGGTGCAAGGTCGTGAGGCATGATGGAGGGTGGAGGGCAGAGGTCGGCCTACCGTTGTATCGCATCGTCTCGAAATTCAAGCCTTGCAAGTTTGGCAGCAGAAAGGTGTTCTTCTCAAAGTCCCAGGTGCCATCGCCGACAGTCATTGTGTTCGAGTCGTACTGCGCGCCGCCCGGGGCCGAGTATCTGTCTGCCGGCGCCATAACGGCGACGACAAGGAGGGGTCGTGGTCAATAGGATTGTTGGAGGTTGGAATGTTGGAGGGTCGGTGTCTTGGCCTTGGTAGACTTTTCGCCAGAATAGGAAGGGAATTATCGGCCGAGGTGGTGGAGGACGATGGGAGGAGACCGGTCGACTGGTATGTTCAAGGTGGGGGAACCAGTGTTAATGGCGGTAATGTTATTTCGAAGAACTTTGCCCACAAGGTGTTCCTGTGGACTCCGTAAAGCCTTCGACAGTGCCAATGCCGAGATGTCCAGAAGCTGGATGTGACGGTATGTCTGGCCTAGGTAAACTGAGGTGTCCTCGAGTGGTTGTGCAGTTGACCGTTGTCCTGGGACGAAGGGGGGTTGCCTCACAGCTTTGGTTGCGCGGGGTGACGGGGCAACGGGCGGGACCGTCGCCAGCAGTACGAACAGTGACAGCGCATTGTACAGGGGGGTTTCCCTCTTGGTGACCTGGCGAACGTCACTGGTGATTGGTGGGAGCTCTTATCTCACTTATCAACAAACAGGACCTCTTTGTTAGTCAGCCTTTTCAGTTCTACTGTCAAGCTGGCCAGCCTGGGACACTCGCCTCGTCTAAGTCTTGTCTGGGCTTCGAACCATCCGCCCCACTGACGACAGCGGCCAGGTCCCTGTCCAGCCACCAAAACCGAGGCAGATGAAGGAACATCATCAGCAACCTTCCTCACCTTCGTACGCTTAGGAGAGCTTGAAAGAAAGGAAAGAAAAAAAACCTAGTGACTGGTATGACCAGGTCCGAAATCAACAAACTCGCTCTCCTCGTGCAGCAAACTACACCCAACATCGCTTGCCATTGAACAGCTGCCATGACGTCGCGATCGAGCCTTCCGTCCCTCCTCCTCCTCCCCGCACCCCCGGCGCCAGCATCAGTGCAGTCACTGAGTGCTGCTTACCGTCCCTCGCTTCGTGCCGCGATTCTTCGAGCAAGATCTCCGACCGCAGCAGCATTTCTCGTGGTTGCACTGGTTGCACCTATCTTGACCGGTTCTTCAAGGAGGTCCAAGGTGCTCGATTGGAAAGCGTCCCAGTCGCTCCTCGCTGGTCTCTATGGGCTGGTCGCCGTCATTTGTGCCGAGGAAGATGTCGCTAGCGATATTGGTGCGGGCAAAGGCGCAGTCGACATTCGCATCGTCCTGGTTGACAGCGACGACGCAAACCGTGGCTCGGCTTCCCCTTTGTCTCTAGAAAGCAACAACACCGTCGTTGTCGACCTGCACACCTTCGCCAACGCATATCACCCATGGAATCTCATCATGCATGTCGATGGGGAGGCGGGGCACAGTCTTCGTGCCTCGTTCCTCGAGCACGCGCAGGGCAAACAAGTGATACGCCAAGACCAGTTCTTCACCGCCGAAGGAGGCATCAGCATCAAGCTTGGTCATGACGCCCTGGATGCTCAAAAGAATGCCCACGCGCATCAAGGCTACCAAACTGTGTGTCTTGGTGGCACTTTTGACCACCTACACCCAGGCCACAAACTGTTACTCACGGCCGCGCTTCTCCTGTTTAAAGTCCCAGAGGAAGGCTCTGGAGCAGCCTGCAAGCTTATCGTTGGCGTCACAGGTGATGCTCTGCTGCGGAACAAGAAGTTTGCGCAATACGTCCAGCCGTGGTCACAAAGAGCAGCAGCCGTCGTCGATTTCGTCGCATCTGTCGTGCGTTTACGCGACTCGGGATGGACTGGCAAGCCATTCCCAGGGCAGCAGGCAGAGAATGAATCTTCTATCAGCGTAGAAGCATTCTTCCGTGAGAGGACGATCCATCTCCACTGCGTCGAAATCCAGGACGCCTTTGGTCCCACTATTACAGACGAGCATGTCGATGCTCTGGTCGTATCCGGCGAGACGCGATCGGGAGGGCAGGCTGTCAATGACAAGCGAACAGAAATGGGATGGAAGGCGCTGGACGTGTACGAGGTTGACGTTCTAGGCTCGGCAGCCTTGGAGGACGCAGCCAAGAGGTCTGATGGCCCAGCCGACTACTCTTCCAAAATAAGCAGTTCAACCATCCGACAACAGAAAGCGGAGGCAGCGGCTAGTACAGCACGCAACGTTTGACAATGTAGCCATGGCGGTTTTTGCCGCTTTCTACGAACAAGCAAAATGTCCTTGGTTCACACGGACCCGGTGCAATCTCGCCATGAAGGGAAACCAATCGTCCTCGTTGTCTATTTTTAGCCCCTGCCCCTGGAAGACAAACCGCGAGACAGTCCTGAACAAGATGTTCTCGACAAGGGTTTTTTTCTTTGGTTGTTGCTCTTTCGGAAGGCTGTCCAGCCAGCCTGCCCCTCCGCATTTTCTTGACAGATCCTGGACGGCGACAGAAACATCTTTGCGCAACTTAACCTCGCCTGTTCTGAGCGGCGTGCTACGTCAAGTCGAGTCCAGGCATGCAATCGCTGGTGCCATGTTTGCAGGGTCCAGCTGTAGAAGGCCACGAACAAAGTTTATCCTCCCCACGAGCCGAGTGGTAGCCGTTAGGATCTGCAGATGCATCAGCTTCGAAAATCGTCAAAAGTTCCTCTACGGCGATAGTATTGCCATCCTTTTTCGGCCAGACTTGGCACATCCATGACGTCCAACCAGGCTCTGTGCTTGGGGGCCAAGGGGCTGTGCAAGTATGCGTTCTTAAATATGTACGTCACCCATGCCTGAAGAGGTAGTGAGCAGCCTCCCCAAATAACCTTCGCAATCCTTCGACCGTGTCTTCAGCCGTAACACACTGCAACAGAACCCCTGCTAGCCATCCATTCGTGCATTCAGCTCACAGATTCCGACGTAGTCGGCGGCATCCTTCAATCGCAATGCAACGTGAACCTGCAGTATGTGGCGATATTCCGTCCGCCTGCCTACCAAGGCCAAATGGGCCAAATGTTATAAGCACCGCCATCTACACCACGATTCCAGCTTTGTGTCCCTTTCCATATTGGCGATTGAATTGAATCTCGTTCACCGCCACCACCTCGTGTCATCATGGTTCGACTATCAAGCCTCGCCGCGGCCGTCTCGTGGCTGCAACTCAGCTCAGCCTGGTTGCCAAGTGAAAGGCCAGAGGGCACTCTAAACAAGAAGTGGTTACCCGGATCAGGGAAAATCAGGGGCGTCAATCTTGGCAGCCTGTTCGTCTTTGAGCCATGGATTGCCAACAGTGCTTGGACTGGACTAGGCTGTGAAGATTCGCCGGATAGGGGGTCCGAGTTCGACTGTGTGTCGAAGCTTGGCCAGGAGCAAGCGGATGCCGCTTTCCAAGGTCACTGGGGATCGTTCATCACTGAGTCGGATCTCGACGAAATGAAGAGATATGGCATCAACACCATTCGCATCCCTCTCGGCTACTGGCTCGACCGGTCACTGGTCGACAGCTCGGAGAACTTCCCCCAGGTATGGCATTGTACCTCCCTTCACTCGGATTCGACCTAACTCATACTTGACAGGGCGCTGAGGAGTATCTGGTCAGAATATGCGGCTGGGCTACTGCGCGCGGCCTATACATCATCTTGGAGTATGTCAAGCCCCGTCGTGGACGAGAATTGAGCTAAGAATAGTAGTCACCACGGCGCACCCGGAGCACAGGTGGCCAAGAATGCCTTCACTGGGCAGGTGGGTGTTTCAAGGCCTCCATGAAAGATGCAACATCATTGACATGATTGCAGCTTGCTCCAAGCCCAGGCTTTTACAACGAGTACAACTACGGTCGAGGTGTCAAGTTCCTCCAGTATCTCACCAAGTTGGCGCACGAGAGGCCAGAGATGGAGAACGTTGGTATGATTGAGGTCCTCAACGAGCCCGTCCATTGGGATCAGTCCGTAGAGTCCCTCCGAAGCACTTTCTATCGAGATGCGTACAATGTGAGTCGCGGCTTGTCTCAACGCAGTCCCCCTTCTGGGCAACAATCACTGCTTCACCAGCGAATCTGTCTTGCGGCGGTCAAAGCACAATAGCTAACATTCAATGCTACAGGCCATCCGCCAGGTTGAGAGAGACCTTAACGTCAGCCCCGACGACCAGTTCCACATTCAAATGATGGGCTCCGGCTGGGGGGCCGGTAACCCGGTTGAGTTCCTCAGCGACACGCAGCTCACGGCGTTTGACGATCATCGTTATCTGAAGTGGGCCAACCGTGACGAGGTTCCCCTCTCGCACGAGAGTTTCATCTCCACGTCTTGCAGTGACAATCTCAGCCGCGACAGCGCAGGTCCCACCATCATCGGCGAGTGGAGCCTCAGCGTCCCAGACGACGTCCAGTGGAGCGACGGGTGGCATCCCGAGTCGCAGAAGGACTTCTACCGCAAGTGGTTTGCGGCGCAGATTCACTCGTACGAGACACGAGCTGAGGGCTGGGTCTTCTGGACGTGGAAGACGCAACTAGGTGATTATCGCTGGGGATACAAGGGTAGGTTCTTCGCAATCTCTCTCCTTCCAGACAAGATGGCTGACGATGAAACGTAGACGCTGTGGCAGCTGGTGTCATTCCGGAGAATATTGACGAGGCCCTGAACTCGGGCGTGTGTGGATGAGCGTCGGATGCCTTGAGCACTGCCGCTGATTCGTTAGTTTGAGCCGACGCGAACGCCTGGGTACGAAATACGGGTTTGGCATATTGGAGGTGCGGCGTCTGATGGCATTGGTCGTGTCAGCGCCGCCCGCAGCCTGACCGTCCATCATGACTGCCAATATGCTGTTGACAGGACAGTCGGATGATATGAAGTTCTGTACATGTGGGATTGATCAAATAGCCTTGTCGTTTTGCCTGAGATATATATATGTACATCGCTCTCCAGTCTTGCGCCCCCCCGTCTTAGATCATTTCACACGACTCGAGCGCACAGCCCTAGGCACGCCGACCACCATGGCCTCTTCCAAGAATAATTCATCTTCAGTAACAGCGTCCTACGCGACACTGTCTTTCCACAAGAATGATCACGTCTGCTTCACCAATTTTGCCGAACCTCTCGCCCGCGGAGCGGAAGCTATTCTAGCGGCCTCCTGGCCGCCCGGCATCAAAAAGGAAACCAGCTCCGCAGGCCTCCTGACATATCAGGTCAAAGGCCGCCCCTGGGACCCCAGCGACGACGCGTCCGCCATCGCGGCGTGCCGCCTCGTCCGGGACCTCCTCGCCTACCTCCATCGGCACGGCTGGACGCTCGTCACGGGGCTCGGGCACAGCGTGCGCATGTGGACGAAAGACTCGCTCGTGTTCCGCCGCGGCGCCGCGTCCACCTCGGCGCGCCAGCGCTTCTGGCTCGCCGTGTCGTTTGCCAAGTCGGACAAGCTGCGGCTGGACTGCGCCGAGCGGACGGTGCAGGAGAGGACGGTGGACGCCGTCCGGGAGGTGATGACGCGGATGGGCTATGTCGCCGGCGGGACGTGGAACTGCGACGCGTACGAGTTTCGGCTGAAGGACAAACCGTGGAATGCCAACATGGATGGGGGGCTGAGGCCGAGGATGCTGGTGCTCGGGGTGCTCGAGGCGCTGGAGGGGGTGGGCTGGCAGTCCTACGGCGCGGTCGCGCAGCGGACGAAGGTGGAAAACACGCAGAAGGCGGATATCTGGTACTTTAGCAAGGAGGTCGGCGTTCCAGCCCGTGAGGCTGCCTGGGGTTCGAGGAATCCCTATGCCAGAGGTGATGTGGGGGGCTAGGCAGGCTCCTGGGTGCCTCAAGTGGTTGGTGTTCCTTCAAGCACCTCGTACCGGCAAGCCTCGAGTTGAGTCTCTGTCTCTGCCAACCAGCCATCAGTCGTAAATATTGAATCAAGATACGCTCTTTGCTTAATTTCCTTACCTGCAGCATTTTGCAGCACCTGCGTTGACCGAAGTAACCTCGAGAGACCGAGAGCAGTATTGATTTATGACGACGCGGGGAAAGCCAATGATCTCTAGTTTTGGAAAATAAAACCCTTCACTACGCAATTATCATGTCCCGGAAAATATCGTGAGACAGCTGGTCGTGTGGGTGGAAGCAGATAATATTATACTTGTTGAACTGTCAGTTCACATGTATAAACAGAGGGACCCAGACATGCATCATGACCAGTTGCCAAAGTCCCTACGAGCTATACAGAAAGATAAATTACAACAAAACAGCACAGTCATGAGACAGCCAGATGCGAATGACCAAGTAGACCTCATCCATGGCAGTTTACAAAGTCATGCTGCATCCGCCAGATGCCGACGTCTTTCCACTCACCGAGGCTGCCGAAGTCTCTGTGGCGCACCTAGCCACATAGCGCATAGCCGCATGGCATTGCTGATGCTGGATACGTGCCTCCTGCGCCACAACCACAGGCGGAGGGGTGGGGCCCCAGGCAGCGCTAACTTCCAAGCTCCAGGTGCGTGTTCCAACCAGCCACGAGTCGCAACCAGCCCAACCCAAACCCCAATCTCCTCCAGCCAGACGTCAAGCTGGTCAACTCTCGAGGGCCTCGTCATCACACAGCTCCTCCCAGCCTGGCAGTACCGACTGCTTCCCCCGCAGAGCGCCTTTGCCATTCATCAACGGCCTCACCGGATCGCCGAATTCCCCCTCTACATCGGCGCAACAGCGCCTCCTCCCATCAGACTCGACGTCGTCGCTCGTCACCTTCCCCCGTGTCTCAGGAGGTCGACCCCCCCCCCTTTGCACGCGCCATGTATTCCAACTCAAACTCGTTTCTCGGCGGCGGCGGCAGCCAGCGCCCCGGCGCGCAGCAATATGGAGGCTCGTTCAACAGCTTGGGAAGCCAGCAAGGACAGCAGGGCAACCCGAGCCCCTTCGCTCCGCAGCCGACGGGCTTCGGCCAGGCTCCTCTGCAGCAGCAATACACCGGTTTCCCGGGCGGTCTGCAACAGCAACAGCAACCTCAGTCTCAGCAGCTGCAGCCCCAGTACACTGGTTTCCAGCCTCAGCAGCAGCAGAGCTTCCAGACCGGCGTGCCGCCCATGCCCTCGATGCCGTCCCAGTTCCAGCAGCAGTTCCAGCAGCAGCAGCAGCAACAGCAGCAACAGCAGCAACCGCAACAACCGCAACAGCAACCCCAGCAGACTGGATTCTCCCTGACCCCGCAGCAGACCTCGGCGCCCGCTCAAGCCATGAAGCCGCAACCCACGGGCTTCAGTCAGATGGCCGCTTCGTTCCAGACGGGCGGTGGCTCCAAGCCTCAAGCGCCTGCGCAGCCCAAGAAGAAGGCCAACAAGGTGCCAAACGTTCGACTGTCCTTCATCACTGCCCAGGACCAGGCCAAGTTCGAGACGCTGTTCACGTCCGCTGTCGGTGACGACTCGACCACCATGTCAGGTGACAAAGCTCGTGATCTGTTGATGCGCTCCCGTCTGGACGGAGACTCGCTGTCGCACATCTGGTACGTTGGCGTGCTCCTGTCATCTGCGAGGTACAGCGATACTGACATGCCCTGTCCAGGACCCTCTCCGACACCACTCGATCGGGACAACTTCACTTTCCAGAGTTCGCGCTTGCCATGTACCTCTGCAACCTCAAGTTGACAGGTCAATCTTTGCCCTCGTCCTTGTCCGAGAACATCAAGAATGAGGTCTCGAGCATGGTGGATATCATCAACTTCAGCATCATTGAAGAGGCGTCTGGCAGCTCGACCGCTGCCGCCAATGCCCCCGACTTCACTGGCAGGCAGAGCAACAACACGCCGCCGACCATTCATCAGCCCCAGCCTCAGCCGTCAAACTCACAGCTGCTCCAGGCCCAGATGACTGGTTTCCCCGGCCAGCAGCAGCCCCAGCAAACCGGCTTTCTCGGACAGCAGCAGCCTCAGCAGATGGGATTCCTCGGCCAACAGGGCCTCCAGGCCCAGCAGACCGGCTTCCCCGGCATGCAGAGCCAAGCCACCGGCTACAACGGCCCACGCCCTCCGATGCCCCCTATGCCCACTGGCTTCGGCGCGGGAGGCCCGGGTGGCATGGCCCCATTGAACGCGCAACCCACCGGCCGCCCCGGCCAGTGGGGCTTGGTGAACGCCCCGGCCACTGGCCTTCCCAACATTGATGCGCTGCAAGCTCAGATGATGCCGCAGCAGGGCCGCGAGCAGCAGAACTTCACCACTGCTGGCCTCCAGGGCAATGCTGTCATTCCCTGGGCCATTACCAAGGAGGAGAAACAGCGTTACGATTCCCTGTTCAAGGCCTGGGATGGCCTCAGCAAGGGCTACATTGCCGGTGCGCAAGCCATTGAGATCTTTGGCCAGAGTGGTCTTGAGAAGCCTGACCTGGAACGCGTCTGGACGCTCTCGGATAACGGCAACAAGGGCCGTCTCGACCTCGACGAATTTGCCGTTGCCATGCATCTGATCTACCGCAAGCTGAATGGCTACCCTCTGCCCAACTCGCTGCCGTCGGAGCTCGTCCCTCCTTCTACGAGGAACTTCAACGCATCCATCGGCACCATCAAGAACATGCTCAGCGAAGAGTCCAACTACCGCAACAAGTCTGGCGCCGCTCTTCTGCCCCAGAAGACGGGCGTCAGTTACATGAAGAGCCACTCTCTGAAGGGTAACAATTTTGGTGGCGCCGGACGCAAGGACGCCACCGTCTTCAAGAACAACGATGACGACGTTGGCTACAAGTCTAGTGCGCGCCGCCGCCTCGGGAACAGCTCCCCTCGACCTGACTCGCCTTCATCTGTTGCGTCGTCGAACGATGATCTCAATTCCGAGCAGCTGAAGAAGAAGATCAGGGAGAAGCAGGTCCTCCTTGACGCCATGGACTTCAACGACGAGAAGAGCCTCGAGGAAGACGACATGCTGGACAGGCGCGACCGACGCGAGGCCGAGGAGTTGTACCGTCGCATCCGCCGCACCCAGGATGACATTGATTCTCACCCTGATGCGGCCCTCGCGACCGGCGATTCCGACGCCGAGCGCCGCTCTCTCAAGCGCCAGCTCCAGAACCTCACAGACAAGATTCCCCAGCTCGCCTCCCAGGTGCGCCAGACCGAGAAGGCCATCCACGATGCGCGCTTGGAGCTGTTCCGCCTCAGGGACGCCAAGGCCCACCCCAGCAGCGCCTCTACGATTGTTGGCACCGGTCCCGGTGGTGTCGTGACCGAGTCTGACAGGCTCAAGGCCAGGGCAAAGGCCATGATGCAGCAACGCACTGCTGCCCTCACAGGCCGCAAGATCGACACTGCCGTCGACGACACGGACGGACCCAAGCGCCTCGAGGAGGAGAGCATCAAAGTACGGACAGAGAAAGAAAACAACGAGCGCATGGTCAAAGACGTGGAAGACTCGGTGCGCGAGTTCTCTCGTGGCATCGAGGACAGCCTGAAGGACGGTGCTACTAGCTCCACCAACGAGCACGAGAAGAGGCGCTGGGAGGACGCTCTAGGCGTTGAGGACGAGGTCAAAGACTTCATCTTCGACCTGCAGCGCTCTAGCCGCTCGGCGCGACTTCGATCTCAGGACAAGCGTAGCGCTCGTAACTCTCCTGGCCCGGAGACCCCGCGAGCCGAACCGCCCGCCGACCGCTATAGCAGCCCTGCCCCTGCTTCGACTTCGCGCACAGCTACTCCTCCCGTCGCCGGTGGCTCGTACTCCTCTTACAAGACTCCGGAGGAGCGAGCTGCGTTCATCAAGCAGCAGGCCGAAGCCCGCATGGCTGAACGCCTCGCTGCCCTGGGTATCAAGGCTCCTTCCAAATCAGGAGAGTCGGCTCGTGCTGCAAAGCTTCGCCAGGCAGAGGAGGAAGATGCCCGTCGGGAGGCTGAACGTCAGGCGCGCATTGCGCAAGAGCAAGGCGGCGCTCCGGCCCCTGCCGAGGAGCCTCAACACGCCAGCGAGACAAAGAAGCCAGCGCCGCCCCCCACCCGTGGTACTGGCAGAAACGAGGCAGCCGAGCGGGAGGCCTCGCAGAAGGCGGAGCAGGAGGCGGCTGCGAAGAAGGCCGAGGAGGAGCGTCTGGCTGCGGAGCACGAGCAGCAGCAGCGTGAGACCCAGGAACTAGAGTGCGTCCCCCCCCCCCCCCATCAACACAGATTTATGACCGGGAGGCTGACCAAGTCACAGGAACGATGCGCAGGAACAGGAGGACGAGCTTTCTCGGGAGCGCAAAGCGGCTGAGGACCGTCTCAAGGCGCTCGAGGAGCAGGTCCGCCAGGGCAAGCTGAAGAAGGAGGAAGAGAAGCGCAGGAAGAAGGCCGCGCTGGCAGAGGCCAAAGAGAAGGAATCTAAGCTCGCCGCCCGTCGGGCAGAGATCGAAGCGGCCCGCCAGCGGGAGCTGGAGCTGCAGCGCCAGCTCGAGGCGATGAACGATGACGACGACTCGTCCTCTGATGATGATGATGGCCCCGAGCACCTCACGCCGCAGGCTTCCACGCCGACACAGGCCGGCAGCCAGATCGGCAGCCAGGAGCTCGAGCGGAGGGCCTCACCGCCTCCTGCTGCGCCTGTGATCTCGCCGCCAGCCATCACCACCACCAGCCCTCCGGCTGATGCTGAGAGCAAGAACCCTTACTTCCGTATGGCTGCGGCACCCTCAGCACCCGCGGCACCCGCAGCCCCTGCACCTCCTGCACCTTCTGCACCTCCTGCTCCCGTTGGCGATGCGTCTACCAACCCGTTCCACCGCATGACGCAAGAGGCCAAGATTGAGCGACCGCCTGCGGCGGCCCCCACAGGACCATTCTCGCGCAAGCGTCAAGAAGAGGACGACTGGGGGTCCGACAAGGACGACGAGGACGACTCGGATGACGAGGACAGGCCCGGTGGCAACAGTGCGGCCGCCCTGGCGTCGATTCTCTTTGGCACCATGGCGCCCCCTCGCCCCCTCTCGGCCGCAGACAACAAGGCCGGGTCGACGGTCGGCAGCCCGGCCAACGCTCGCTCGCCCACGTCGCCCCCCGCGGCGCCGCCCCTGCCTGGTGCGGGCGCACCCAGTGCCCCGCCGCCGCCCCCTCCGCCGATCCCTGCGCCTGGCGGCCCCGTCTCGTCGCCGCCGCCGCCGCCGCCCCTACCCCCCTCTGCCGCGCCAGGAGGTCCTCCCCCGCCTCCTCCCATGCCTCCCGGTGGCGCGCCGCCCCCGCCCCCGCCTCCCCCGCCTGGGGGTGACGCGCCCGCGCCCGCGG